CAATTTATAGCCGTGGCCAATTAGAGGAAGCCGAGAAGATTCAACGACAGGTCCTGGAACTTCAGATCGAGATTCTACGATCACAAGCTAACCCCTATTCTATCATTTTATGATGAGGTAATCTCTGAGCGGTAGGAAGAGGAGAACAATCATAGCTACGACATTGAATGCTTCTATGGTAATACTGCACTTAGAATAGCACTTCACACTCCTCGAGCCAACCCGCCTTCAGTCCCGAGACGAGTACCATAATGGAGCCACCAGTTCGACATATTGAAACGGAAACCGAGCACCCGAATTATCATATAGAGATCCATCTCATCTTGATCTCCTTTTATTCTATAGTATATGGCCTATAGAAATATGCTCTGCTTGATTTATTATCGAGGTAGATTTTATGGGCGCTCTCGTCCTCGGACTCATTCCTCCTCCATAATTTGAGATGTTCAGTATGTTGACAGTCACTGACTTGTAGTGTTGGTGGCAACTCGAGCCACTCGGTTCACCTGGAGTGGACCATGTTCATCTCCAACAAGTCCTACAATAAAACATATACCAGCAAGATTGTGCATATCCGGTGAATACAAAACACAGAATACAGGAGTATACATTTGACGAGGGAGAGACCTGTGCTTGGTCTATGAGAAGGCGAATATGTCTACAGTACCCTGAATAAAGGTGTCAATAATCGTAAGAGAGTCACAAGATCTCCTTCTACTCGGCAAGAAATGAAGAGCGGGCATGTAGAGTGAACAATCCATGGCGATGATATATGAGTTCATAGCTCTGAATTCCTTGAAAGAACCGCTGCCTCTTGTGCAAGGTCCTTAGCCTCTCTCAGTTCGCCACATTTTCGGAGTGTCGAGGCAAGATTTTTCATTGCCACAATTGTATGAGAATGATGCGGTCCTAAGATCTCTTTGTAAAGCTCCAGGACTTCCCGCTGGATACTCTCGGCTTTGTCTAGTTGTGCGGAGTCACTAAGTGTCAATGCGAGGCTATTCATCGTAAGGATCGTATCCAGATGTCGTGATCCTAAGATCTCGACTTGAAGTTTCAGGACCTGTCGCTGAATCTTCTCGGCTTCTTCTGGCTGTCCACGGTAACGAAGTGTTGATGCGAGGCTGCTCATTGCGTGGATCGTATCGGAGTCTCGTGGTCCTAGAATCTCGGTTCGAAGTTCCAGGACCTGTCGCTGAATCTTTTCGGCTTCTTCTGGTTGTCCACAGTAACGAAGTGTCGATGCGAGGCTGCTCATTGCGACGATCGTATCGGGGTCACGTGGTCCTAGAATCTCGGTTCGAAGTTCCAGGACCTGTCGTTGAATCTTCTCGGCTTCTTCTAGTCGACCACGGCTATAAATTGTGGTTGCGAGGTCGCCCATTGTGAGAATTGTATCGGGATGCTGTGATCCTAGAATCTCGAT